GTTAGTTTAAGACTGCTTTCAGAGAAGCAGGTCATATTTTATGGTAGACGTAGCTGAAGGGACATATTAGACATATTAGAAGCAGAAAAGTAGTTAAAGGAAGTATAGGGTTGTTCGGAAAGTCATTTCGTTTTTTCCCGACAGAGGATTTAATTGTATTCTTTTGCACCCAACTTCACATTTAAGCCGTNATTAATTAATTAGACAGCAAATAGTTAAATAAAAGTAGTTATATAGTGAAGAAGGTGATTAAATACGTGACCATATTATGCATAAATTTGGTATCAGCTTAAACAGTCTGCCAATAATTTAAGCTTTATTATTTTTGTTATTTTATGAAAATGGCAGACGATATAAAGTTAGTAAAACATCACTTACTCGTAAGCTATTTAAAGTCAACAAGGGACGTTACGTCTCACTTAAAACCGTTACTTATTCAGAATTCATAACAATAAAAACATATTTTAAGCTTCCAAAAGGGCAGAGTTGCAATCCCACGTTTCAATTTGCGTCAGCCAAATAATTTTTATGAGAATATCAAGGCAGTAACTGATACATAAATGAATGCGAACTCTAATATAATTGTACGGTTTTCATATTAAGAAAAAAAGTATCTCTCGACGTGTAAAATTATTCCCATGTGGCTTACACCTCTTCCAACTATGTAAATTTACAGATTTTTTCAACATATTAACCGTGTAAAAAAAACAGGATGTGTGTGTGTTACATTAAAAAAAAGTAGCGCTGCGGAAAACCGCTTTTCTGGAATATTATCTTACGGCGCGGCGTGGAAAAGCGTTAATTAGTGCAGATGAAATTGGATATCATTAAGCTAAGTTGTTTTTTACAAAATTTAACTAGCGCCAGTATCGATTACTTTTTGTTCATCGCAAACTTAAACCATTCTATTTTGTACATACATAAATGTTAGCTAAGAAGATTATAAGTGGGTACATTCATTTTTAAATGGCCTCTTTTCTTTTAATGAGTTCATAGCATGCAGGGTGATTATATACAAACGGGCTTAGGTTTAGTTGATTTACCTTGCTTTCGTTATTACTATTCAAGTTTATCTCACTCAATGTTGTTAGATAGCTCGCCTACACGAAATAGAAATTTTTCGTGCAATTTCACGAAAATATGACAAAGTGTCTTAGTCGCGCACGCGTGAGCCGTGCCACACGTCGTCCCGCACTCTTTGGTAATGAACGCATTGGGGGTTGTGTTACATTTTATACCTACATCGATCATACGTTTAAACGAAGTGTTAATATACGTGTTCTTGCAGTCTGGTTGGTACAGATCTACTAGATTGCCCTACGTAATTGATTATTTCTTTTTCGTACCAAAAATGAGTGTTGAAGTTATCTAAAATACGATGTCATATAAATTCCGACTTCTTCAATCTTCTCATTCTTAAATAGATATTGAGAAGCTTCAAGAAGTTTAAATTGAGTTTATAAACCAACAGGCCTACTTATCAATACATACGTAAATACTTTTCTGATTTTTAAGGGTGGAAAGTCTTTTTTTGATTCAGATGTAAAAGACATTGTGAAAAATTACAAGTTGCATGAATTTTTTAAAAATAAATTCATTTTCTTGATTTAAAAAAATAAAGATATCGATAGATGTGGATTAAAAATAACCCCCTGTCATACCTGTTTATGTGTTCAGTTTCGGTAATTCGATAACTGATCGCGAGGGATGAAAAAACGTAATTCAAGCCGACTTTGAGATTTTATACACATGTTACCTCTTTAGGTAGCAAGATAAAACAACATAATTTTTCTCTCTCAACTCAAACGAAAATGGATTAATATACGTATAGTGACGAAGGCATAACTTGCACAAATTTGAATACATCAAGGAGAACCAATTATAAGTCCACTTGCACTTGACCGCTAATGGCAATTTTTCTTTCGTGCACGAACTAACAACATTTCAAACCAAACACGATAAAGTCCCGGCCACTATTAGAAAACAAGTCATCAAACGACTGACATTCTTTCACATCCTTCATGCATAAATCATCCCGCTCATGTCGGGTGCGCTTTTCCAGTTTAATAACCAAGTTATGGAATATCGATAAAATAGCAATTACATATTAAAATATTCTACATCCTACCGACAAAATGTTAATAGTTTTGCTGTCGCATTGAACCAACAGCAGGAAAAAATTACAAACTTCGTGTCCGAATGTTCACAACAACATGAACAAGATTTTCCAGTGTGATATTGTCAATAAAAAACAACGTCGAATTTTTTGGTGGTTGTTTTTCACACAACTATTTATTATATTATTATACTACTCTATTTTCTAATTGCAAACATACACACTTTAACATAAAAAAGCACAAATTATTATATATGTAAGGACTTGTCACAGGTTTATCTGAAAATATCAGCTGTTTCTCTGACAACTGTCCTAAACTAGCCGAACTCTTTAACATCTTCCGAACAAGGCGAAACATCCCTCAATATCAGCTCGCCACCATTGTATACATGTTTATGCATATCAATTCGAATTTTCATTGTTTGAATTTGAACTTGATTCTGAGAAGCAAATCAATTTAATATGTTCTTCACGAAATTTCGTTTGTAAACAATATACCGCAAACGAGAACTAATAAATTGGTTTTGCTGTAGTTCATTCATGACCAAAACAAGCAGATAACCGAAAATTACATAAATCCGGGTGTGTAAATTACGGTTATCGATACGGTGAAGGAAATTTAATTAGAAAACACCCTTACATGATAATAAACGGTATAGTACAAAAACAGTTACCTGCTAGGAAAATGAATAAATAATACCATAAATATATCGCATAGTTTTAGATAATCCTCCTGGTAATTAATTTAATTACCTGTATAACATTTGATTGAACCTTTTTAAATCAAGGTGTGTTTCTTTTTTCTGGAATGTATTAAAGAAATGATTGCATTAAGGATTTTCACATGTATGTAGGCAACCCATCATATATAGTGTCAAAGAAGACCAGGTTTCTAGGCGGCATATACTGGATCATTCTAGGACACGGCCAGTCTCTATAAATAGTTGTCGAGAGATCGAGTGTAGTAGTACGAGTCAGAGAGTTCGAGGAGATGGAAAGCGAAAAATAAGCAGCGAAGAAGTGACAAAGTATTCATATGGTAGTGAATTGATAAATGATTAATTAATTAGACAGCAAATAGTTAAATAAAAGTAGTTATATAGTGAAGAAGGTGATTAAATACGTGACCATATTATGCATAAATTTGGTATCAGCTTAAACAGTCTGCCAATAATTTAAGCTTTATTATTTTTGTTATTTTATGAAAATGGCAGACGATATAAAGTTAGTAAAACATCACTTACTCGTAAGCTATTTAAAGTCAACAAGGGACGTTACGTCTCACTTAAAACCGTTACTTATTCAGAATTCATAACATTAAAAACATATTTTAAGCTTCCAAAAGGGCAGAGTTGCAATCCCACGTTTCAATTTGCGTCAGCCAAATAATTTTTATGAGAATATCAAGGCAGTAACTGATACATAAATGAATGCGAACTCTAATATAATTGTACGGTTTTCATATTAAGAAAAAAAGTATCTCTCGACGTGTAAAATTATTCCCATGTGGCTTACACCTCTTCCAACTATGTAAATTTACAGATTTTTTCAACATATTAACCGTGTAAAAAAAACAGGATGTGTGTGTGTTACATTAAAAAAAAGTAGCGCTGCGGAAAACCGCTTTTCTGGAATATTATCTTACGGCGCGGCGTGGAAAAGCGTTAATTAGTGCAGATGAAATTGGATATCATTAAGCTAAGTTGTTTTTTACAAAATTTAACTAGCGCCAGTATCGATTACTTTTTGTTCATCGCAAACTTAAACCATTCTATTTTGTACATACATAAAAGTCAGCTAAGAAGATTATAAGTGGGTACATTCATTTTTAAATGGCCTCTTTTCTTTTAATGAGTTCATAGCATGCAGGGTGATTATATACAAACGGGCTTAGGTTTAGTTGATTTACCTTGCTTTCGTTATTACTATTCAAGTTTATCTCACTCAATGTTGTTAGATAGCTCGCCTACACGAAATAGAAATTTTTCGTGCAATTTCACGAAAATATGACAAAGTGTCTTAGTCGCGCACGCGTGAGCCGTGCCACACGTCGTCCCGCACTCTTTGGTAATGAATGCATTGGGGGTTGTGTTACATTTTATACCTACATCGATCATACGTTTAAACGAAGTGTTAATATACGTGTTCTTGCAGTCTGGTTGGTACAGATCTACTAGATTGCCCTACGTAATTGATTATTTCTTTTTCGTACCAAAAATGAGTGTTGAAGTTATCTAAAATACGATGTCATATAAATTCCGACTTCTTCAATCTTCTCATTCTTAAATAGATATTGAGAAGCTTCAAGAAGTTTAAATTGAGTTTATAAACCAACAGGCCTACTTATCAATACATACGTAAATACTTTTCTGATTTTTAAGGGTGGAAAGTCTTTTTTTGATTCAGATGTAAAAGACATTGTGAAAAATTACAAGTTGCATGAATTTTTTAAAAATAAATTCATTTTCTTGATTTAAAAAAATAAAGATATCGATAGATGTGGATTAAAAATAACCCCCTGTCATACCTGTTTATGTGTTCAGTTTCGGTAATTCGATAACTGATCGCGAGGGATGAAAAAACGTAATTCAAGCCGACTTTGAGATTTTATACACATGTTACCTCTTTAGGTAGCAAGATAAAACAACATAATTTTTCTCTCTCAACTCAAACGAAAATGGATTAAAATATCCAAGAAATTTTTGACTCTTTGTCAAGAGTACAAACGGTGTGGCCCAAACATGTAAGTAATTAAAATGAAAAACGAAACTATTAGAAAATCGAAAACTACTAAAACAGTTATATTATGTTAATAATATTATTTTTTGTGTATGTAATGAGACTTATTCTAGAATACAAACAACAACAAAACAAGAATATTTACCTTCGCCTTTTTTTTTACTTTTTACGTGCACTATTAATTATTTTTTTAATCGATAATCAATTTTTATAGTGTGTACAATTAATAAGGTACCTATTAGATCCACAAAACACTTAAAAAGTTTATAAAGTAATACCGTCTACATTTCTAAACCATCAAACAATTTATTATCTTAAACACCTACAGTAGGCAATGTTCTTAATAGTTAATAATTAATTAATTAGAATTGTTGGTATTGTAAATGCAAAAATTTTGATACTTTGACGTAATCTCGACCGCCGTGTGACGCTTTTGTAAACATTTGGAACGTTAAAGGGGGAGCGTTCCAACCGATGCAGACGGTCGCGTCCAAACTGATGGTATTTGACGTCGGGACGCTGCCGTCGAGGCGCGCATCCTCGAGACACCGTTACAAACATTCCTACCACTCAACCCATGACCCGACAGCTAACAGTTCGCGCTACAAGAATAACATAACCCCAATACCCTTACGAAACAAACAAGATCATCTCAAGTCTGTGTTTTCTTGTCAGATTTATTGCGAATGGACTTTCCCAGGATAACAGGATTTGTAAAATATGTTTTTTATTGATACACTTAAATGCAAGACTATTACACCCATGCGCAGTAAATGTAATTTTATATGTATAGAAGGAACTTATTAGTTCTAATCGGCACGCCGTGCTTTACTAAGTTCGGTCAAACATATGAAATGCTACAGTTAGATCAAATATCACTACCTAGATGGCGATATACTGCTCATAGCTTAATAATATAATTTCACAAGAAACGCAAAAGAAATTTTCTAATCTAATTTATCATTGTTTTTCCTTTCCTTTTTATCGTAATCTTCAAGTTTAGCTGAAGGCTTAATCCTTTATTTTTCCCAAGAATTACAAGTTGTCTAAGGGATAAGATTAAAGATGTTTTGCAACCATTTTAAAAGGTCCTATTTCTATGACGACAAATATTGTCCTTTTCTTAAATTTCGCTACTTTCCCATTTTCTATTATTTTAAATTACAGTCACCTTCTATCTCTAACACTCAACTTAAAACGACCCCATCGGATAAAGCCCAAATATTTTGTAATGATTAGTACATATATCAAAGCCGATCAGAAAATAATATTTTCTGACTAAAAACATTAAACGAAATACATAATCATTATTCACAAATAACGTAACACTATGAAAATAATCATTACAATGTACAAAGTATGAGCCTTGTGTATCTAGAACACAGAGCTTTTTAATTGCTCCAGGCAAATATGTCAACAAACTGAGCTTTTGTTTTGGCAAAGCAGATTCAGCAAGGAAAAAGAATACTAAGTACATTCGTTAACAGAAGTACAAGTGAGAAGTTAAACAATGTTACATTAAATTAAGAAAGTTCTTTGGAAATTTTTGTTTGCCACAACACAAGTTTTAAAGATGGTCGAAAGAGCTTTTTATCGTTGTGTCTATTAATTGTATGGTCGACTGGTAGAAACAGCAAGAAACATTCGACAAAGTTGTTAATTAAACTTACTAGGAGAAGGTTCCTGATAGATATTAGATTAAACTTGGAATTGATTGTTTTCAGTCAGCGACAAACAAGGAATCGCTTTGTTTCGCTTTTTATTCATGAAGTGTTCTTTCATTTGATTTATAATCGTAACGAGGAAGACTACCCCTTCCTGCAGGACAATTACGTAATTAAATTAAAATTGTGTAATTGTTTATTATTGAAATGTATTTAACTAGAACATTAAAAGAATAGAGTGAACAATAAATATGAACCTCGAAGGTGAGTTAATTTGAATAATTGAGCCTTTATATCTTGAAGGGTTTCAATCTACAGATTGAAGGAAGAAACTAAAAGTAAGAGAAGCTAAATAAACACCGTTGGTTATTTTTTTCTTGGTGTTGCTAAGCTTAATTACAATACTTTGCTTGGTTTCTGGAAGTTTTACAAATCTAAGGAGCAAGCAAAAAAGTTTTAATGGAAGTTACCACTTAGAATTATCTAATAATTTTATAAGGTTGGAATAAATTCATTAAAAGTTTGTTCATGGAAAAAAGGTCGGGCGCATTCGTTTCTTATTTGGAAAACCAATTAGCGCATTAGGTATTTTGAACAAATTTTTAGGTAAACATGATCAGTTGTTACTCAAAAGATTAGCATTTATTAACACTGTCCCCATTTAAATTGTAATTCGGAAGCAGTTACGATAGAATAAGGCAACAAGAACGAAGTGAATTACGTTGGTTCTAATTCCTAAAGAAGTATATCCGATAAAGTGAAAGATCTGAAATAAACTGGGGTAGTTCAACCAGGGAAATAAAGGGCAATATAATTATCTGGGTAATTTCATGGTAATTATAAATAATCCGGACATAAGTCTGACAGGAATAAAGTACCTTAGAAATAAATTGGCCTTATCTAAGAAACGTTTATGTCTAGTCGTAAAAAGAAACATTAACGCGTAAAATACATAACGACTCTGTTCTTTCCTTTGCCAGAATACGGCACATCACGTCCTGGAATTCCAGTCGGATGGTACATGCGCCATTAGATCCGAAATTACTATCTCTACCAGGGATAAACTAAGCTCGACCGACGGCTCATCGCATAATTTAAAACGTGATCTCAGAAAAATGTACGTAATGCACGCCCAGGATGCCGGGATTCATATAACTTTCCTTATTTTACCTGGGATGATATATTAAAATTGCATTTGATCATTTTCGTGGCATTCTCATCGACGAGAACGTGTCAGAAACAATTTATACCGAAATTAGAAAACAAACAAAATCTTCGACGTGATTTGAACTTCGTTTAATAAATTTTTAAATTGCATATTTATAGCACGAGGAGATAGGAAATATTGAACTAACCAAAAAAAATACTGAAGCTAATTTAGGTACATTTCTTCCTATACGTCAAAAACCGTAACTAGAATAGTACAGGAGGATGGAAAAAGGGCGAAAGAACTATTAGGGGATGATCAATTTAGGTTTAAAAGCAACAGAGGAACTTAGGAAGTCATTCAAGCTTTACAGGTAACAATAGAGAAACGATAGAAAAAAGAAAGAGTGCCTACACAGGATTTGTAGATTTAGAAAAAGCTTTTGACAATGTTAAATGGGACAAGATGTTAAATATACTTAAAAATGTAGGGATGAATGAGTTATAGAGATAGAAGAGTGATACTTAGTTTGTATAACGATCAACAGGCAGTTATAAAGCTGGGGCTGCAACGCAGAGAAGTAAATATTAGGAAGGGAGTCAGGCAGGGATGCACACTGTCACCGCTACTTTATAATTTATACATCGAAGACCCGATCAACATCATTAAAGACAGTACAACTGTAGGGATAGATATACAGGGGCAAAAGATTAGTACGCTTAGATTTTCAGATGATATAGCAGTATCAGCATCTAGCAAGGATGAGTTAGAGATAATTTAGATCAGATTACTGTTCGCAAATAGTTAAAGATGTGGATTGTTCTAATTTTAGGGAAATGCGAAAAGTAACTCAGGATAGGAAAGAGTGGAGATGCGTGTCCAACCAGTCTTAGGATTGACGACCTTGTGATGATGAGTCAAAACAAGAATTTTCCCTTCATGAAAGAAAATACTCATGCATAAAATAACGATTTTTGTTTGTAAATTTTATCAATCAACATCTTAAGCCTGTTTCTCCCATGCCTAGTTGATGTAAGTTAAAATTCAAATTTATATTGCGTTGTAATCTTTGCGCTGAAAGGTTTCATGAATAGCTTACTTTTAGACATGATGACCAGAAAAACGCATTCGTTTAGTAGATGATAAAATTGCTGAGTGATGAGACATGCAGAACCTTCGCCAAAATATGCTAGGACATGTCAGAAGTGAATTCAATTTTGTTATTTCTTTTAACAGACAATATGCGAACAAGTAAAACGGCTATAAAGTAAAGCTTTCAACAAACGTAGACGAATTTAAAGCATAAAATAATAGGTCAAAACAAAATTATACGATACTCGATAGTGGACTACGATTTTTGGACAAAGGGCTTAGCAGATGGTTATTATTAGATACCCTGTAAATGATATCAGACACTCTTTATTTGAAAATATGTGAAATATGTCTATACTTATTAGATGTTATAAAACATTAATAAAAGCCTTCAGTGTAACAGTATACGATCTAAATGTTTTCGTGAGATGTAATTGAGACTTGGTTCTTCAAAACCCATTAGAAAATAGAAGACGCTTGGAGGAAGAATGATAAGTTGACTTTTAAGAATATGTACTTGCATCGGGACTAAAAATAAAATACCTAATCATAACTACAAGGTGGTGTAGTTCAAGTTACATCTAGAACGAGTAGCTTTTAATTAAAAGATTTGTAATACAGATAGACTATTCCCGTAGGTTCTTTTCAAACATAAATTATGTGTTGATGATCCCTATAGATCTCTAAATAGATTTATTTAAGTCCATAGAGTCGTCAGTCTTAACTGGTTGGGCACGCACCTCCATTATCTATCTTCCTATCCTGCGCTAATCTTCGTATTTCCCTAAAGCTAGAGCAACTCAGTAATCTAATCTGTCTACCTCTACTCCTGTTTCTGCTTCTAATATGTCTTTGACTAGTCCTTCATGCCTGCGAAGGTGTCCTACCAACCTATCTCTCCTATATTTCATTGACTTCCATAGAGTTCTCTGTTCTTTCTAATACCTCTTCATTTCTAAACCTTCTCTATCCACTGTATCCTCACATCTAGAACGCTTCTAATCTTTCGTTTTTCTCCGCGCCCACCGTCCGAGTTTCACACCCGCACAGAGCCGTGCTAAAGCCCATTCAACCGTACGCTATCCTTTACTTTATCCTGAATTATCTGAGTTCCTAAATAGCAAAACTTAGCGAATTGTTCTAATTTTTCGTCTCGTATCGTTATATTCACTTTTTTCCTACTTTTTCTTCCCTGGCATACCAATATTGAGAAACATGGTAAACAAATTTTGTATTTCGGTTTTACCTCTATTTTGTATTTTAAGCGTGTCATACAAACAAAACGTAATCTATAATCATCACCGGACAGTTTAGACAAATCGATAAATTAAAATCACTAATTAAAATCTGTGGCGCAACTGGGTAAAAACGTACCTATGTAGGGTGAAAATCGAAGCCAGGGTGAGGACAAAAATAGAGTTTATTTAATTATTCAACACTACCGTTACGCCTTTAGATCCAAGCTTTTATCAAGATGAGTACATAAAGTCAATAGTTTTTTTTTACGTTACGTTAAAAATCTACCTTGATAAAACCTTCCATCATAAAGCGAAATGTTGGTGTTAGTTTATTAAATAATTTTTTTGTCTCCTACCTGGCTTTTATTTTGGTAGTACTAAATTCATAAAAAAAGGAGAAGAAATGGAAATTAAATTAAAATGTTACCTTTTTTGGTACAGAACATTAAACGTGTATACTTTAAATACTTTGCATAGCCGTTTACCCTATTTTGATGATTTTTATACCACATGAACTTCCCCGTTCCTCTGTCTTTTGTTTTACAATCATTATTTTCTCTTTTTTATGTACTTGCTACACCCAGAGACGTGACTACACATATTATAGAACGTTTTTTATCGTAAAAGGGTTAATATCAAACCTATTACCTTAAAGCAAAAAAAAAAAAGATTCCCTATAATAATAAAAAAAAACCAACGATCACATGTTTACGAGAACAAGCTCGCAGCTTTTTTTATTTCAAGTATAGAACTCGATTTGATCTTTTATTTCCCGCTAATGCGTTTTATTGGAAATAATTTTGAAATCTCGGAAAACCGATTCGCTGCTTTATTGCTCCAGAATTAGTTTCGATTTTTATTATCGCATTTCCCAAGTTGGTTCGCCCATTTCCACATAACAACCCTATTAATGAACCCTTCCTTGACTCGTTTCAGTTCAGACAGAATTTCGATATATCGTAAACCGGCGAGAAAAAAGGAGAATAAAAAGAAGTCGAATCCCGATGTAATGAGATAGACTTTCGCCAACATTATTATTGAAAATCTAACTTATCTAAGCAAAAAAAAAGAGTTGTAAAATGTATGTTTGCACATGATACGCCCCAAAGAACCTACATAAAAAGAAATATATTACAATTGCCGAAACCGTTCGATTTACTCAATTTTTCGGTGACGTAAAATTGTTTTAATAAAAAAAGTCTGAAGAAAATAATATTCGATCGCCCTGTATATGTTTAAGTTTTTACTACTAATTATTTAATTAATATTAGTAGCTTACAACGACATCTGCAGTTATTAAAGCGATTGTATTTCTTGCAAGACTAATGCTCGTTGCGCTATCTGTCGAAGCTTCTTATAAACAGTTTCGAATTGATCACTTGAAAATGATGCCTACAGCGACATCTGTGAGCGAAAGTTATAGTAAAATTCAAAAAGTTAAATAAATTGAAAATTATTATTAGAAAGGGGTTTTAAACTAAAAAATCGTTAATATAAAGTAATTTTCTTATTTTACTGACCTAAAGTTGTTCTTTAAAATACAAAATACTTCAAAAATTTCATCCCTTTTTATATTCCTTTTTTTAAAAACAGCTCAAACGACTTTTGCAATACTTTTGTTATTTTGTAAAGGCTAAGAAAGGAATTTATCGTCTTTGTATTACATTTCAAATAAAAGTTTTAGTATTTTGAATCAATTAATTCATTTAAAATACTAAAGCAAAAAAAAAAACAAAAAATAAACAAAAAAGTTAAACAAAAAATACATTTATTATTTTGTAACGTTACAGATGAAGTAACATTTAAAACTATTGTTTGAAAATAAAATTATGATAACTATACGGTTAATAAACGTGAATATAAGTTATCTTTTAGTAGCATTTTATTCCATTTAATAAGCGCACATATATTTTTTTATATTATATATTAATAACACTATAAAAACGATGTTGGGGGTCTTAAGAAAATAATTTTCCATATGAACAACTACCGGAGAAAACTTCTTTAAAAGTGTGAAGAACGAACCATATTTAGTAATTATTTTCTTTCTGATTATATTTTGCAATGTATCACAGAAAAATTTAATACGATTTATAATTTAATTTCAACTAAATGTTCATTTATAATTTCATTTAAATGAACTGATTCAATTATATTAATAATAAATAAAAGTTTCATCTAGAGAGCCCGAGCAAAATGTAGCTAATGGAATAAAAAAATATTTCTCACTCATATTTAAAAAAAAAACATTGTAACATCGCAACAACGTTGGGCACAAGCATGGGAATATTGTTACTGATCCCAGAGAGGCATTTCTTCCCTTTGATATCGCCTGAAACCTGGGGACTTTCCCCAAGGATTGCGTCACAAAAATTATTCGCTCAAGGCGTGTATATTGTTGATAAGCACTAAATATTTGTAAGGCAAAAGAAATGTTAACTGCTAAATGGCCTCATAAGCAGAATCAATCGTGGGACTGGCGGTACCATTAAGGAATTCCTCCAGTTCGTCCCTTTGACAGGACGTCTCCTCACGAGAACGCCTTTTGTGCTTTTTGTCCCCCTTACTAGACGACTCTTTACCGCTTTTGTCTTTATCTTTCGACTTCTTGTGCTTATGTTTCTTTTCAGACTGTTGAAACGAAATTAAATCTTTTTAAAATTGGTCAAGATTAAACCATCTAACGCAGAAAAGCTTTTAACAGCATGCAAGTACAAGGGTTTAACTTTAAATAAGGAAAATGTCCTACGAAATCTACCAAAAGGAGCTAACGACCAAACAAGAACCGTAAATTATTTAAGGCCCCAAACATAAACCTTAACAGGCAGACAACTGCATGCAGATTATAGGATTCAACCTTAAGGAACAAAACAGGGTCTCAGGAATTCTTTAAGGGAAGAAATAAAGTACCAACGCTGTTAAGAATGAGAAAAATACAATACTCAAGCGCAAAATATAGGCCCAACAAATTCCTAAGTAACTTCAGCCTCTAAAATCAGTTCAGCAGCCTCTAAGACTTAATTTAATTCGATTGCATCAAATCTTTATCACTTACCTTGTCTTTGTCCTTCTTCTTCTTCTCCTTCTTCGCGTTATTAAGATGGCCACCACCATTTGCGTCATCGTTTTCGCTGCAAAGGCTGTCGTTGACTGATCTTTGGCTGTTTCTGGAGGATAATAGCTCCATCCGGATGTTAGAAGAAGTTAGACTTGAGTTGTCATCGTAAGCCACGCTTCCACCGCTAAAATCCAACGTTTGGTATACCACAGAATCATCTTCACCTCCTGTAACAAAGCAGAAATCACAATTAAAAAAATGTATTTTAAAGAAAAAAAAATTAATTACCCTCTGGAGATCGTCTCCATCTAGTATCGGCGGCCATCCAGGAGTCGAAAGCTTCTGAATTGATTTCAGAAATTTCTGAATTTATTGTAGAATCCATTTCGTCGTTACTCTGCTTCATCGTCTCAAACTCTTGCTGTTGTTGTTGTTGTTGTTGGGGTTTTGGGGCATTTTTTTGGTTCGAATCTGGGGCATGTTTTGCCTGATTATTAGGTTTAGAACTGGGCTTGGAAACCTCAGCTTCGTCATCCAAATCATCCTGAAATTCAGATACAAGGGGATTTCCAGTATCTTCGTCACTGAAACGAAAATAAAGTAAAAACTAATATAATTTATATGTACTGCAGCATACCTATCAGACTCTATGTAGTTATTGGCTTGTGAACTCAGTTGAACATCTTCCAAGAAACTTCTGTCTAATTGACCCCCTTCAGGGCAAAACTCGTCTACTGACGTTACTGGACTGACTAGATTAGATTCCCCACCCTTTTTGCCACTACTGTCGCTCTTATTATTGGCCCCAATATAAGTCTTTTTCTCGTTTGAAAATATTTCGACGTTTTTGCCGAATGGAATGGGTTTTCCAGCGCCTATAATGATAGGGCCACTCTGTGACCTCTTCATGTCGCCCTGCCCAGAGCCAGACGATTGATGAGGAGCCCCAATTTGACTGGAGGATGCTGAAGGATGCATAGTATTGGTGATGTTTTGTTGTTGAGGAATGTTGGCGTTCAAGTCTGCAATTTCACGTCTTTTTTTGACTAGATTATCTAGGAATTTGTTGTAGTTTGCTTCATCAGAACTAAAGTATGTGTCCAGTTCTAGGACTGTGGCTTGGATTTCTTCTTCGTTTCGTTCTAGTTGTCGTAATAACGTTTCTTTTTGAAGTTGTAAGAATGGTAAGTTGAAGAATTTGTGAAGAAGTTTGAGACCAAAGCCATTTCGCATGGAAGACTCTGCATAACGAACTTGAGCTGAACGAGACCTGGGAACAAAAGATAGTTAAAAACAAAACCTATATATATATTGCTGAAACAGTTAGAACATTACAAACAGCAAATAATAATTAAAAACATTAACTACACTTACTCTACTATGGACTCTATGTAGTATAAAACATGATCAGGGGTAATGGTGCGGTGATGAGACATATCACAGTGGTTTGCCAAAATAATCACTGGAATATGGCCCGGTATCTTTGGAAGCTCTCTTTGAATGTAATCAAAAGTCCTGCAAAAAATTGTCTACAATATTAATCATCAGTCAACTAGTATGTAATTATTTACCAAGCTTTGGTGAGATCCATCATCATGATAACACCGTTAGTTCCTTTATAAACATCTAGAAACTCAGCATCTAATGCTGGCTCGTCAGGTATTTCTAATTGTGCATTTTCTAACTTCAAGCCATCAAATCTTTTCTTCTTTTTTCCTTTGTCTACTACATCCCAAACTTCTACTTTAACAATATCATCTGTAGCTTTGTAGTTCCAATGAATCGAAGTAACTTGAATCTCTTCGGTAGGTGCATACTCTTCTATAAACTTTTTGCCTTGAAGGCGGTGAAACAAGCAAGTTTTTCCTACATTTCTATCACCCTTGATTACAATTTTCACTAAAACATAGGCATTACAGTTACTATTTCACTAAATAACCTTAAACTTACTGTTATATTGAACTCCCCTTGCAAATTTTCTCTGAAGAGAAGTGGACATTGTTCGATGTCCAGGTGGTCTAGAGGCATCACCACCTGCTGAATTATTCTCATTTTTACCAGTAAGTCTTCTAAATGCAGAAAACATCTTAATTGTTCAGTAACCTACTTCCATATGTTTTGTGGTATTATTAAGCATATCCTTTAACGTACATACACTCTAAACACTTGTAAATAGGTGATAAACGCTTAACATATTTAAATATTTATCTAACAAACATTTAAGTAACTATTTTATCGATAAAAACTCGTAAAACTTCAAAAACAACAAAAAACATGACAGGACACAACAGCTTCCATCTTGGTATTGGTAGTGGCTGAATATATTACAAGTTCAAAATATGGCTAATGTACCAAGTGAATTTACTTGAATTCAAACATAAACTTAATTTCTAAAAACAATTTGTCACAGTAATAATTAATAAAGAAATGTAGCATATTCACTTTTGTAAACAAAACTATGACGTAGTGTCGGCCATCATTCTTTTCTAATTGTTGCAGTTGTCGGCCATCATTCTTTTCTAATTGTTGCTGTTGTCGGCCATCATTCTTTCTAATTGTTGTTGTTGTCGGCCATCATTCTTTTTCAATTGTTGTCGCATTGTCACTGATGTCGGCCATCATGGTTTTTTAATAGATGTATAGTAATCAATAGATAGTACAGATAATGAAAAACGCGGGATTTAAAAAAGTTTAAAACACTTTATTAGAACTTGTTGAAAAATAAGTTCTGATTTTACTAATACGAATACCTAAAACACCAAATGGATAATTTATTTATATTTTTGCTTTACTTTACCCTTCTTATGTGCTATTTATTTTAATGTACAAATGAATTATATTCAAACAAAATACATTTTGGATTTTTAAGAACTTTCTTTACACGAACTATATTTCAAAGGGCTAATGATCTCTTAAACTTTAAAAGATGTTACTAAAGAATACGGTGATTACATACTTTTCACAGAATACAGCTAATGATACTCTTTTTTAACATTACGAACGAAATCTTTTGTAAAGTGTTCTGCAGGATGGCAGTAGTTGTCCAATTTTCTTCGTCATTAAAATACTTTTAAACTGTTTCTTAAACTACAAAAGTTTCTCTGTCGGTTTTTAAAAATATCTCTTTCTCTCGCGTGAAAAATGGCCCCAGTACATACCGTACACTTAAAAATGGTAGATTTTCAGACACCTCGTATATGTTCAGACATCGTACAAAAAAAGGAACTAAGATATATGTGAAATGTCCAGTTCGACCTCAGCGTATTCACTTACGAAAAAGGTGCGCTTTGGTACGCAGTCGCGATGACTCTTTGCCACCGCCCCATGATGCTACAACAGCGTCGCGACGCGTCGCTGCGTTTCGACGTTCATGCTACTATCTTCATTGGCAACGTTGCCCCCGTTGTCGAGTCGCCTGTTCTGACGGCGACGCTCGCGACGCCAACTAAATCGACGGCAGAGAAAAAACAACAAAATAAGGGCGCAAAACGATGGTATCAGAACAAGTGAACGCGTATCATCATAACAATGTAATCGGGTGATTGTTTTTTGATAAGAGAACATAGAGGGTTTGGTAGATAGGTAAAGTGAATGATATGGGGTTACGTCGGGCGCCACTGCTGATAATAACAATTGGTGGAGACTTCTGGGCGGGGCACCCTCCAGTGACGGCTTTTGATTTTCGCGACCGATGATATTGTTTCCACTGGTTCCCGTCCTCCTGACGACGCCAAGAGCGTCGGGACGTCGTCGGTGACGAAGACGGTGACGAAACGTTATCTTCGAAATCTTTCGTCCGTACCCCTTTTGACATTGTTATTATTGTTGCACTGGTTATAAAACCCGGTCCATGTAAGTATACTTTACAATATTCCCCAGTATCAAGCATTTTTCATTTAATTATTCATCATACTTTTTCAAACATTAAAATTATGTCTATGTACATATCTACACTAATCCATACTCTAAGCATGGATTAAACCAAATGGGGCAAAAGCTTGTAGTGAAGCTGAAATCAATTTAGTTATTTACCTACCAAAATCGTTCCATATCTTTTTGATAACATTCCTTTAGATGCGAATCTTTGTTAAACCAAAAAGGGCTTTAATATTAACTACAATTAAAATAATTGCCAAACATCTTGAATACTCCGCAATTCTTTGATTTACGTAGATTACCGCCAATTATTTATACTTAATTATTTAGGAATCCCATTCAATCAATCCTAATCCCTTTAATGCGTTTACCTGATTTTTGAACTTCAGTAAAGGTACTTAATCTGGCTTGAATAGGGCGTGGAGTGTATACGAACAAGATCTGATTTTCTAGTACGAAATACTCAAACGAATTGAAAAATCGACTCTATTCTACTCTAAGAAAATGTTATAAAATCTATAGTATATCTGAAGATTATTTCGTTAAAAACAATTGTTAAGAAAAATAGGTGACCCGTTCCTAATATACACTAGCGGCGAGTTAATAACCGAACACAGGGATATTCTGTTACATGAAATTAGCAAAGGGCATCATTCTGTTGGAAAACAAGACATGGGATAAGGAAATTCATACAAATATTTCCAACCATCTTTTCATATAAATAATAAAGTAATTATGAGTGTAATGAACGCAATTTAAAGCTTGTGATAGTTGTTAGGTGTTGTTCAAAAGATTTTGAAAGTTCGGTTAGTTTAGGACAATTTTCAGTCAAGGGGGTGATATTTTCAGATAATAAGAAAAAATGCCAACAAAGAAATGAGCGTTTTGCTTCACCGGTATATGGATTGTTATTTTAGACGTACTTGTATTTATAAAGGTCCAACTACCTACTAACCCCTAATAGACACCCTAAATGTTAACATTCCCTTTTGTTTGTACACGAGCGAACAACGAAAAAGGCTGATTGTAGTATTTTCGTAAAAATTGTGGACATTGTAGGAACTGAATAAAGATAAGAAGCAGGTGAAGTGTAATAATGCTGTTATTGTTTGTTTATTGTTAGTTAATTAACTTGTATGATGCGAAAAAGGTCAGAAAAGTCAGTAACTACCTAAAAAGGGCCATCAAAATCCCCATAAACTACTGATACGTTTCCAAAGGGACTTTGAAAGTTGTTAAAAACGTAGACAAAGCAAAAGGGATTCTCATGTAACTTTTTTTCATTTTTTAATGGCTTCTTCAAACGAAAAAAAAAAACTAAACTTACGTTTAGTCTAATGATACATCCACTAAGATATACTAAATTAAGATTAATTATTTATTTCAAGATATTCTAACAGATTTAATTTGGTGTCTTTCGTTTCTAAATCTTCTAAGATTTTAAAGTCGTCATTGAAACAATTTGATTGTTATAATAAATATTCGGCACAACCTGACTAGAATTTATAGGGGGCATGCCCCATGTAGTGTGCGGGTCTCATGTGGCTAATGAGGGGCATGCCGATATAGGGATTTCCCCGTGGACTCCTCATGAAAATCCCACCAGAAAAAGTGGTGATACCTAAATTGAGGATTGCCTTATAGGGTATTCAAATGCGACAAGGCGTTATATGCCCCGTCCTTGTCTTAAGGGACAACCTGATGGGGCTCACAAGAACTAGTGTGACTACCCACTTTACCTGCACTCCCCTCAAAATTCTAGTCGGGAAATAGATCAGATCCACTATTTATGTTCTTGTTTGTGTCATCTTTATTGCGTATTAGTCTTAAAAGAAATCAAAGAATTTTTACTAAAAAAATAGTTCATTTTTTACCGTTTATTTGATATGATTCTATCGTGGGGTTCGTTCTTCATTCAAAACACGTAAATTTAAGGAAAACGTTTTAGGGGGTGGAATTCCACGGCTGTAATGTGTAATTCGTGACCGTCCTAGGCCTCGATCTTCGTAAAGTAAAACGTTTGCGCCAATATCCCCTGTTACGGGAAGGACTCATCAAGTAAACATGTTTATCATTTGATGTCCCTCTATGCTTTAAAGACCGGATCCGCGTGATGAATATTAATTAAAGTGATTATTCAAAACCTTTTTTTTATTATAAATTTAAATAGAAAAACGATCAGCAGTTTTCTAATTCCTTGTTTGTCTTCCAAATCCCTAACTTTTGTTCCTGGTTGCGTTGTATATTAAAAATAATGAGTCAATGTCACACTCGTCAAGTTTTTACAGCGATGAGCAAAGGAAGATAAAGACCAAGACTGGAACAGTCTCGGTATTGATCTTGGTCTTTGTCTTACTCAAATAGTTCTAGTCTTGATCTTGCTGATATATAATCTCAATCTTGATCTTGGTCTACACGTCTTAGGTTTTGTTTGGAAGCAATTATTTTTTCGTTTAGTTTTGACAATCTTGCTGATTTTGCTCATCATTAAGTTTTTACTTTGTACAAGATGATTTTTATTACAGATAAGGTTGGAGGAACCAGGTTCAGGTCTTTTTCCAAATAACCACGTCTCTGACACTGGCGATATGGTAAGTAACGATGATGTGCCACAATTTTACAACATTTTAAACTTGATTTTCTTAGCTACTTCAACGAATAAATTATAAGGTCGATCCTTCTGTCTTTTGGACTGAATTTTCCTGACTTATTAGTCTTGCATTTCAAACCTAATTTTTCCGTTGTATTAGTAGATACATTGCTACGGTATTATATAAGAAACTTTGATTAGATTCACGTCATTGGAATTGGAACAAACAAATTAGTACTTGCTAGCAACAAATTATCCAATTGTAAGCATCTTTAAACAAAGTCAAATCAAATTTAGATTATCATTATTATACATTTCAAAAAAAAAGAAATAAACACCTTCAAACTATTTTGTGTGGACAATTGGAGAAAAAACTTGGAGACACTAAAAACCTTAATCTTCCTCTAATGCATTATATTATTATTTCTTTTTTAATCATATTTCTTCGTCATCATGTTATCAATGCAGTATGTAGTTATTATATACCAGTATTCATCCAAAATCAATGGTTTGGGCTTCTATATATTTGTATTAAAAAACCATGTACAGAAGTAATAAGTCGTCAGCAAAATGAATTACATTTACTGGAAGATACTATATCCTTGACAACTTCGTAATAAAATTTCTCGTCCCTAAATCAATTCTCTGGCCAAATATATAGCTTGGAGAGGCTTTGAAATTCAATAAACTTTGATTACGACTGGACACTGGAGTTTTCTTTTCCAAAATAAAACATCATACCAAACTCTTCGTGATAATGTTCAGTTTATTCAATTTAAAGTTTAAAAGGTTTTTCCTTTTCAATTCATTTTAAAGATAGAGCAGATATCAGGTAAATATAAACATGTCTACACAAATAGTGCAATGAAATAATAAAAAATTAACAAACGTATTTGCTGGTTTAGACAAAGTATTTAAATTGACGTAGAACAGGATAATGTCACAACGGGATGTTATTCTAGATCCTAACCTTTGTAATGCGTTGAACACAAAAGACGTACGATTATTGTCTAACAAAAAAATTGTTTTGGGGATGCTGGAATAACGAAGGAAATGATTTTTTGTCTCCTTTTTTTCCCCAGGACACAATATGGCCTCATCATACTGGCACGCCTCAGGGAGACATCTTATTCTGTCGATCCTTTGGTTTCAAACGTTCTACTATCAAATTCGAATCACAAATGGTAAGTAGAATATAAAAATTTTCGTTTTTATCCGAATTCTATTATCGTTACTTTTAACATTTGCCTCGTAAAAAGTCTCAGAATTCCAAGCGGGTTTTAATAGAACTATGAGATCGAAAGATAAAGATTTAGGTTCTACACAAAAAGTTATTGATTACTAATTTACAACCATTTTACCTTACATGAAAACGTTTTAATGAAATATATGCGCCATTTCACACTTCGCAAATTTTAAAACACTTTTACTTTGGACAGGGTATAGTAGGGTAATATAGTGTGGCGCAAGGGGTAATTGTGGGGGGATACATTATATTTTCCTTACAATAAGAAGTAGATATAATAAACAAACTGAATTGATCGTAATGCCAAAACTATTACCAATAACGATTAGTTACTTTTACACAAATTGTAAAACATTTTTACTTTGGACAGGGTATAGTAGGGTAATATAGTGTGGCGTAGCGGGTAATTGAGGGAGAATACACTATATTTCCCTTACAATAAGAAGTAGATAAAATAAACAAACTGAATTGATGGTAATGCCAAAACTATTGCCAATAATGATTAGTTACTTTTACAGAAATTGTAAAGCACTTTTACTTTGGACAGGATGTAGTAGGGTAATGTAGTGTGGCGCAACGGGTAATTGAAAGAGGATCGACCTGACTACACTGAAACCTGAACAATATTAGCAGTAATACAATGATAGTATTAAAAAATTAGTAAAAAGCGAAATGTCGGCGTTGGTTTGCCAAATAAATTCTCTGTGTCGCCTCCAGCCTGACCTTGAGTCTGTTATTATCTCTTATAATGAATTTAAGGACTGATTACTAACTGAAGCCTTTGTCTGTATCTTGTTCTTCTTCTTTTTCTTGTTATTTTTATTAATGGTGGAAAATGTGGCATAGTGTGCATTCGACACGTATACCTACCCTCTAATAACTTCATATCAGACATCTTATCCCTAACGGTACATGTCATTATTATCATATTTACACACTGTTATCAAAAGTTTAACGTTCTCGCCAACGAAAATTTGCATTATTAAGATAAACGTTAGATTGGCCCGCTCATATGATCCTCTTGACTGCGTCCCACCCATTTCCAGGTCGATTTCGATGTGACCTGGTTTAAGTTCGAATCAGGTCGGGAAGGATCACGCTGACCAAAAGTTGACTCTCGACGACGAATTCAGAATTTCAAAACACAAGTGGCCAAATGAGCTCCGACGAAATGCGAAAGAGTGCAATTAAAAAAACCTTTTGCCTATTCAACGTTTTGTGTGTCGAAAACGTTTTCTTTCAATAACTAAAAAACAGAAATAACGAAACAGCTTACGCCTTTGCACTTTTAATTTCACTTTATCGTTTTGCAAGGTGTTTAATGTCTTTTAAATTGAATGTTTCGCTTCGTTAGTAAGCAGCTGAGATACTACGGAGTTTCTTTTTCTTTGGTGTAATTAACCATCGCCTCTGTCTTAGAAGTCCTTCCAGTAATTCTTCCAATAATTGAGACTTGAATGCATTCGGAGAAGTAAAATCGATCGAGTGCATTTAAATTTCATTTAGATGCAGGTAACACTGATCATGAGAGAATAATAAGAGGTGGCTCAATGAATTGGTTTCTAAGTAGAATATAAGCCAGCAGAAGAAAGCTTTTTACTAGACACGAAAAGTTTGCTGTGGTAAAAGCACCTATTATTTATTAGATCGTCCTTCTTTTGCCTTATTACTTCCTATATCAAAACTACAGTGTAAGTCCTTCCATTGTAAAGACACGTCTTTTTTACCATGATAAGTATAAAAATTATGGTTTCATATTTCCCTTCTAATTTAAAATTAAAAACCACAAGGAATTTTCTGTCACGTATTTTATATTTGTTTATTAGAAGAAACAGTAACAGTTGAATTAATTATTAACGCTTGTTAACGGCTTCATTGTTGGACAGATATTTTAGCATATGTGGTAAGCAAAAATTACAATTTTGATTGATGTTGATGAATCGTTTTCTTCAACAAGTATGACTCAATGAAAAAGCAGGGATGAGCCTGCTGCTGCTGATTGAGTTGACGAGTGGAGTTTGTTTTTTTTTGTTTTGTATGAAATAAAAACTTTCGAATTTGATATATAAATCGATCGTAGGTCGTTTCGGAACAATTGTTTCAACTTTCGCGTTTTAAAAAGCGATTCGGCGCCAACGTTTCTCTCGATTTTAACGCAGCCGCGCTTGGGAAATTTTCATCGCGCTTTCTAGATCAATATTTGATTCCTAGAAGATTCGCGTTCATTGGAGGGGGATGACGGTGGTGGTGTGGAAGCTGACAGACTTCGTCATCGCCTCCAACAATATCCCGGTGCGCGGAAATCGCACACCATGGTGGCCGTAGCGATCTGCTGTATCCTCGTTCTTTTGGCAGTTTTTATCGTCATCATTATTGTTGTCGGTCAAACGATAGGTGAACATCCCCATTAATTGTGCACGGAATACAGTGAAAGTGGCTTAAGGACGCTGGTAACGCACTCCTTTTGGGCAATTATCGACGAAGGATGAACCGACGACGCCCCCAATGTAACTTGCTGGTCGAAACACGAAAATGGACAAGTAAGTATTCAATTACTACCTTATTCATATGAATTTGTACCATGGAAACAGTTTTGGACATGTCTTGTTACATCAGACTGAATCCATGATGCATATTACATATTTATACCAAAAAAACTGCTGCTGCTTCAAAATAATTCAAATTTAACGCCAGATAATCGAACATTTGTTCTTTTTGTAGGAACTAGAAGTTCTTTAGTACAGTCTAATAAACATGCGAAAAGAACTAGATCGTGCACCCCTTCGCTTGGTACGTATTATTCAACCCTCCTTACATTTTCACTTTTTAATTCTTTTAAACAGCTCACCCCTTGAGTCAACACCCTCAATTACCGTCTTCACTTTCGGAGTCTTCCTTGGCAAGAAGAACTCAATGACTAAATAGTAGTAACAAATCAAATCAGTCATCGCATCGTTCAGACATTCGCTCCCATTTAAAAAAAAATTATTACTTTTAATCAATCGAGTACTTATCATTTTATCATCAACAGGAATACAATTAACAATAATAATAATAATATAGCGTACACATATCACACGACTCAGAAGACAATTACTGAATTAAATCCACAAAACAAAAGCGCACCCACAATTAATTTTATAACAATATGCAGAACAATATATAATTAACAGGTCTGCATGTCTGCTACTTATCGCGATTATCTTCAACATCACATTAGTTCCTGACTCAAATTGCTTTTATCGATTACAGACAGCAAATTAACATGTCGAAATTGATTTGCCCTTAATCTAATTATCGGCAAAATCCATTCTGTCCATTTAGTATTATAATCCACGATGACGAAGAAGATTATTACAAAATTAACGGAAAAACATTACATAAACTCCTATTAACAAAAAAGGAAGACTTAATAAAAAATGCAGGGTACATTATGCGATATATAATGTACTTAACTAATTTTTACAACCCCTTTACAGCAACGGAATTGAAATTCAACTACTTAAGAACCTGAATCTTTACGACAACTTATTGTTACATTAATTTTCTACAACCATAGGAACATAATGTTCCTCTATTTAACTTCTCAGTGTGTTGAATATTCAAAATTGTTCCATAAAAAATAGTCCAACTTGAAATGATACCAATTTAGTATGTGTGTTATATGTATCTATACGATTTTGATTGGCACAAAGTATTATTTAATATATAGAAAAAAGGAACTAAGATATAT